CGTCGTTCTAATTAAAACGTTCCAATAAAAAAAATTTTTTTTAATACTCTACTGACTGTAACGATATTAAAAGTGCCTAATTTTGAGATGTATTACTTTTCTATGAACATAGCGATACGATTTTTATTTTTTTTAAATATCGTAATCTAATTTAGCTTTAATGACTAGATATTTGAGATAAATTTGCTAATAATTGGATTAAGTTTCATTATTATTATTAGCGCTGTTTCATATTTTATCGAATACGACGAATTGAACAAAAAGAGTCACAAGAGGAAATGGAGTTATAAATAACCTAACAAATGAGGTTTCTCGCATATTTAGGGCATGTGCTTATTCTTGTTTAAATTCGGATATGGCATACTCAACTTAACTCAATTGCTCGTAACTTTCATAAAAATGAACACATTGTAAAGAATTTTTTTTAATCGAAACGTCAGTCGTTAAAGAATAATACATAACGATATTAAAAATGTATATAATATTATAAAATGTAAAAATGTATATAGTATATTGTAAAAGGTAAAAATGTATATATTTTTATTAGATAGTAAAGAAGTTGTAAACAATGCAAAAATCATTGAAAACATAAAACTGGATATATCACACACCGAAGAATTCATTATTATACGTTATATATTATTGTTACGTAAAAACAAATGGATATGTCAGACTACGAAATATTACTTTCAACTATTTTGAGCGTTGCCATTTCTCGAATACCAATAGTCATGATGCATGAATAAATAATAGACAGGATGCACACGCCCCGAATATATTTGCAAATTTATGTACGTGTTTAAAGACATTTACAATCCCCTATGTACATACATAGATAGATATAGTTTCAGGAAGTAGTAAGAAAGAAGAGAAAAGATTTAATTTGTCTTTCTGCGCCGTTCACTTTTGTTCGTCTCGGCCTTGCTGTGGCATTGCCTCTTCATTGTGACGGAGGAGCTTGCCAGCTTGATACTTATAATCAATGACGACGTAATTGTGACGTCGCTAAGAACAATGTTAAAGCTATTGTCTCAAGCTAAATCTCAAGAATTATCGCGCGAATAAAATAGTTACGAAGGTTTCTAATAATCGTCCAAGAAAACTAACAAAAACTAGATTTTTTCACGTTGCTTGAAATTCTTAAATATTTTTGTTCTTCTAAAGAGACAAATATATATTCGGGCGTTAAAAAGAGAAAAAAATGAAGATTCCGAACGTAAAAAGTGAAGCAACACGAGCAGATTCTCACAGTAAAAATATTTTATATTTGTGTTGGAAATGATCCATTCAAGTCCTTATTAATTTGGCGTTGAACATATTATTTAAATAGTTTTTGTTAAATCAATTATCAGCATTTCTTAATGTCATAGTAACACTTTATGAATAAATGAACAAATAACAAAAAAAAATGTTTTTAATTCAAAGATGAACGAATAAAATGTTGATTTAACATATCATAAATATTAGTTTTACTGGAAAAAATGTTTCCGCGATTTGTTTATAAACTGTGTCAATATTACTTTTTTATGTTTAATTTTTAAATAATATTGTTAATATATATCTGTGTTATCTTCTATAATATGTTCTTGTATTGAATCTTGTATTAAATAAGCATATAAATTTGAATGGACCGTTCGAGACATGTGAATATTTCATACAAATGTTTCAAATTACAGAGAAATCTAAGAAGAATTAATTCCTAGGAATGTTCCTAAAATATAACTCTCGATTGTGAATTGAACGCGAAGCAAATAAAAAAAAAAATTAGAATGAGTAAGAATAAAGGAGAGGACATTGCAGAAAATGCTGGGCCAATTATTAATTAAATGTCATTTAATTTTCTCTCTTTACTTGCGCGGTGTCGTTTCTACCCATTTGACGTCACATCGACGTGGTACTGCAGCTGTCAAAATTTCACATGTCGCGTCCGTGTTGTCGGTCGGGTTCGACGAAGAGCGCAAAAGTGGGGTGAAAGCCCGATTAAGTTGGCTCGCGGGTCGAAAGTGGAGGGAGAAATTACTTTTTGATGGATTGTGCAAAACTGTCGGTGTTTACTCGCGTTTACTTGCGAGTACAAAAGCGTTGCACGATAATTTCGAGTAAACGAAGCAAATATCCTTTATATAATATTTACGATCTTTTTCGCGTGATATTTTAAGCATTTTTTTTTTTCGTATTATAACGCTTGTCAATTCTTTCCGTTAATAATCTTTCTTTCGAAATGTCGTTTGAATTTTATCCGAGGAAAGCGACTGAATTATTGAAATACAAATATTGAGTCCCAAGTAGCAAGGTGACGTTGTAATGACGTCTTATTAATGTCTTATTAATGTTCGTCATTAAGATGTTGTTAAGAACTAAGAAGTCACCTTGCAACTTTTGATTGAATCAGGCGGTTGATTATGTATCTTGGAACGAGGTGAAAGTGAGCGAATGTATTGGAATATTTATAATTTTATTGGTCACTAGAGTAAATTTACTTATTTTTATCATTTTCACTTCGTTCCAAGGTAAAAAAATCGATCCTCGGGGCTTATATTTTTGAATCTGAATCACGTACAAAAATCTGTAATATATGTAACGTATTTTTTAACGCGATATTTTTCGAAAAGAAGGCCCAGGTAAGATTTGATTCGGATTTCAATTTCTATGATAATTATACCCGAACTATTCGAAACTTTCGAATCTAAGAAGTTCAAGAATACTAATCACATATATTAACAATATTATAAAATTTTTCTCACTAATAGGCGGACAAATAGAAATCTTTATCGCGTATTAAAATTCACTTAACAATAATTGTTAATTAAAAATTACGTTTCAGTAATTCGATTCGAGTAAAATTCTATCGACGAGAGAGAGAAAGAGAGGGAGGCTGAAAACGGAATGCTTTGTCGCAGCTAACATAGTAACATCGTTCGGAGGCGAGCAAGTCATTCGAGAAGCGCGTGTTTGGCGATCGGAGTTTGCTCGGCGATGATGTTTGGCGTAGGAGATATCGTTTTCGTGGCGGCGCCACGGAATTACGCGAGCGCAAGGGGACGACGGGCGAGACTGGAATTAAACGTCGAGTAATCGCCGCATTAAAACTCGTTGTCGTGCCACCTGTCCCGGTCTTCTTCGTCGCGCATAGCGTAGGAGCGTGCATTGGAAACACCTTACGGAAAGGTTTGATCGGCGCGTCTGCTGGTACTAGAAAGCTCCGCACCGGGGCGTCGGCGTCGCGAGCGCGCGTGTGCCCTCTCCCTCCCCCTCACCCTTCCCCTCCCTTCTCCGTCGCCCCTTTCTTATCCGTTCGCTTTCCTCACATTATCGCCTCACTTCAGTGCCATCCGTTGACCGCCGCACCGCGGCGTTTCTGCAGCTGCTTTCCGATCCCGCAGACCCTCCCTTTTTACAAATTTCAGCTCTCTGTCCCTCACGTGCAATTTCGTGTGACGATTTCTTTTCGCGAGGTTAACATGATAGAATTACTCGGGAGAGATATTTCTCGCAATTAAAGGTGAGGACACGTCTTGTCACGATGTGTTGTTGTTTGTCACTTGTTAAAACTGAATTTTTTGGTGTTTCGACGAAGAGTTTAAAAATGATATTCTCCTGCTTGTATACACGTATATGTATTTTATATTACGCTCGTTGCAGTTGTCTGTATTAAGGAATAGTGAACTTTGACAGTTCTTCCTTGAAGCATTTTATTTATGAGAAACCACGGTCATAAGTCAAGTCTTTCAATATTCTGATTAAGTGAGCACGCGATTACGTATGATCACGATAGCTAAATTTTATGCTGCTTGAGGTTTATCAGAACCTAATAAAAAATTTTTATGCTTAATATCTGATGCAATTAATGCTAATGTTACTTAGAAAATATTTTTTGCTTTTCGCACGTTTTAAGTCGCGATGGTCTGTGAAATAATTTTACAATTTCGAAAGTTCATCACATCCCGAGATCAATTCTTTAATGCATCATTATATATTCATCTTAAGAAATTTGAAAGTTTTTTATTTAAAGATCTATATGTATTTGTCGTTACATAAATACTTTGCGAAAGGTTGAATATGGACAAACCAAAAAATTCTAATTATATCAATCAGAATTTCAGTTATCACTAGAATTTTAGTAGATTTAATCAAAAAATTCTGATTTGTCCATTTTCAATCAGAATTCCAATTAATCCAACCAAACATTTTTCTCAGTGTATATATAATCAGAAAATTGAATGCTTAAATGGTGGAATTCTACGAAAGCAAAGTTCTCTTTTTTCTCTGGGATTAAGTTACCCTTCGTTTTATTTTCTAAAGATACTAGGCGTGGCGAATTATGCATTTCAGTTTGGCGTACTTATAATTCACTCGGTTATTCGATATCGATAGAAAACTCGTCAGACATTCGAACATACATGCATATGCTTTCAACTACTATTTCGGTACGGTTCTATATGCTCGTTCTAATAACTTTTTCCCGATCGAGACGGTTGACCCAATTCTTAACCTCCTGCGACCCCTTATAACCGATAGGGAAGAGGTACCATTTGATTCAAATAAAGATACTCTTTATTCGAAAACCGCTTTAAGCAGTTGAATTTTAATGAGATTAAATTTTATAGTCTGATCGCGCCCTTTTCGCAAATCTTCCTTCATTTTTATTAACTAAAAGCAACAGTGGGCTAAACGACATTTTGTAATATAAATGGAAGATAAGTATATTTTTCCCATTATTTTAACTTTAGAGTTTATCTTCTCCGTTTTTGTATGTTAGTCCCTTGTTGCAGCGAACCGTTAGTTCTATTTACAAATAGTTGAGCGTCACGTTTATTATAATATACAGGCCAATCTTTAATATTATATGTGTATATGTTTCAATAATAAAAATTTTGAACTACAATATAGGGATATAAATGTAATGTTTCGTAATTTAAAAATCCATATATGAATTTAAACAAAGCTAGATTTCAAATTAATCATCAATTAGTCATCACTTCTAGAATTGAGGTCAAACTCTCTGGGGCACTCTTCATTAAAAATATATGGAAAATATATATAGATACGTGGCATTGTATGTGTTTGAATTTTGCGAAATTAATTTGTAGAAAAAAATGTTATGCTTCTAATCGCTATAAATTCACAGTTTTAATCTTTTCATAAACTGTGCTGGAAGGATAAACACACACACATCGAGCTCTTTAAATACCATGTCTCTATACCTAATTAAAATCTGAATCTGATCATAATGAGAGAATTTGTGTCACATTTAAGTATATTCTCATTTCCTTTTCAATTAGAGAACAAAGCTAATAATACAGCAGATCGATGACCCAGCTAACAATTTAATGTCTTAATCTCATTGAAGACAGAAAGCTGTCATCTGGAGAAATTTATAGAACTGTTTGTCCGTATGTAAAAAAATTTGATTTATATTTTGAATTGCATTTCGTTGACTTTTTGAATCTTTCGTTGATTTGAAAAAAGTGACACAGATCCTCGCATTTTTAGACCACGTATTCATAACCGGTGATATACCAATGACATATATTCTCGTATAAAATATCTTCTATAATCTATAAAAGCGCAAAATTCATCTTTACATAGAATAATCTCCAAATAGCTCGCGCGGCCGAGAAGCTGAGAACCGTGTCGAGAGTGTGTCAAAAAGTGGACTTGTCCCGCTTTTTTTTTTACGATTCGCGGCATCAATTGAATTCAATTGGAGCCAATCGCTCTCGTTGGAGAGCGTTCCGAAATCACCGGCGCTCTCGGTTGCGCGCCGCATACGAAATCGTGGGAAGCGATGATCGACGATGAAATTTTCGCCGAAGAAATTCTCTCGTCGAAGGAGTGAAGGCGTCCTGCGAGAGCGGGAGAAAGCGCGGTAGTCCCCGGGGCAGCTCGGGGTGTATATCCGTGTATACCAGCCGAGCGCGTAGCTCTGCTGGCGACGGCGAGCGGTTGAAGTTCCGTGTATCCACGATCGGCGCTGGATGCGCCGCCGCCGTCGCCACCGCCGTTGCGGAGTGCGGTAAGCGGTAAAGCGGTTGTGGCAAGGCAACCGCCGTCGCCGTTCACCGCGTACGCCGTCGCTTACGCGTCCGCCCAAAAGCCCAGCACACTGCACAGTGCGCACAGCGCGCCTCTGGGTTGTCTCTCTTGGTCGGCCGTTCGCCATCATGAAAACATTCGCCCGTCGTTATCGTTGTTTCGCCTCCGTCCTTGCGGACTAGCGCGGATTGGAGGTAATATCGAGCGTCGGAGAAGTCTGGACGATCCGCGCGCGCGAGCGAACCACGGCCACGTTCATAGCGCGGATTCCACCACGGCTCGTCCGTCGTCGTCGCCGCCGCCGCCGCCGTCGCCGCCGCCGTCACCACCACCGTCACCACCACCACCACCACGCACGGGAAGCACGGGAACGCGAAGCGAAGGCTGCCCTGTAAGCCCCGTTTCGTTGGTGATTTCGCGTGCTGCGCGAAGTGCGCCGCGGGAGGATTATAAAACGAGGAAGAGAGAGAGAGCCATCGCGACGTGGGAAAGAGACAGGCGATTCTCTCCCGACAGTCCTATTGTGAGCGGGGTGTCCGCGGATCGCGATAAGAGGATACGGCTGCCGCCACTTAAATGCCTCGCACAAATTCCTACTCCATGTTGTGCATCGGTTGCGACACGGCTGCGTGTTGGAAAGTGAGTAATATCGTAACGCTGCGCGCGATTCACGCCTTCCCGTCCCGTCGTCTCCGTTGACGACCTCTCTCTCTCAGGCTGCGGACTGCCCGAGAGCCCCTGGCTGCCTAAGCTGCCTTATCGAAAGCTGCGGAACAAAAGGGAAGGAAAACGAAATATCAGATCGCCAAGATGACGTAGTAAAAATTCCTAGGAATTGTGCTTCCCCTCTTCCTCTCGCCCTCTCGCTCGCTCCCACCAGAGCTCTCGCCTTCTCGCTCTCTGTCGCGCTCACGTTTTGGCCTCGCGGTCGGAGCATCGGATCTCCTTTTTCTTCCACATTGTTGTCTCCTTTTGTTGAAATTTCGGTTATTATCGAGTGCCTCGGCGTGTTCACAGATCCCAAGGGCATGCCTCATTGAAGATATTTATGTTCTGACCTTGCATGACGCAGGAAGCAGGAGAAATTGTGAGAGGTCCCATTTTCTTGCCAAGTACACATTGTATCTGAAATTTTCGAAAATTTGCCTGCTTTTCTTCTCTTAAAGCTTTTATAGCTGTGATTTTGGTGTTAGATTCCTTTCAGTCAATTGTGTTGTCTTCGCGTTTATTTCTTTGTCATAAAAAGGATCGACATAATGTAATATATTTTGTGAGTTAATTGTTGTGACACTATAAAAGTTTAATATTTACAAAGTACGGTATTCTTCGATTGTGATTTGGCTTTGTCATTCTTGTTTATGATGCGTTTTAATTTTTAAGGTACTTTACATTCTCTCAATACATACTGTTGTTGATATACTTGTATAAAAAATAATCATTTGCTGTACATGTATAAAAAATAATTATTTCAGACATTTAAATATAAGAATTAAATTGATGAGATGATAATGTTATATTTGCATCTATTCACAAGTTTTGCAGTTTAAAACTTTGTAGTATAAGATCTTGATTGGCATTTTATTTTATTCTTTGCTTAATTGCATGATTTACTTTTAAACAGGTGAGTACATGGTGACACACGGTTGCAGAGGAGCAATTGGGAAGAGAGCCGCAGCAAAGGACTACACCTAGTTATCCTACACCAAGCTGACTGCAACTTTCCACTGTTTCTCAAGGCAGTGATCGCAACTAGGATATAAACAGAAGTTTCCTTGATTTACGAAGAGTGTACACTAATAAAAGACGAGAGTTATGGAACGAGAGTCTAATCCTATGCAAGCTCTGTGTCGCAGTGGCTGTGGATTTTATGGCTCGCCAGCTACTGATGGCCTTTGTTCCCTTTGCTATAAGGAAAATCTAAAAAAGAAGCAGCAACCACCAGTGTCAGCTGCCACCGTACCAACCTCACAGACTGTCTCCAGCAACGCTGGCACGTTGCAAAGCAGTTTTGGTAGCCCAGCAGCTACAGGAACGACAGCCCAACCTACCATTCCTACTATACCTCAGTCAACGTCGGATCTACCCAGTCCCAAAGAAGTGAGTATTGCCATCTCTTTTTCATAGCTGCTCTGCACAAACGTAACGCCTTTGTTCTTTCCATTAATTTGCAGAAAATAGCGCTTATAAGCAGCCTGAACCCACAAGGTCGTATACATCAAATTGTTTTTAGTCTGTAAAACATAATAAAACTTTCAAAACAGCCAAAGGAAAGAATATAAGAAATTGTTCGAGACATTAAACTGCAGCATATATTTATAGCTTCTTTCGCATTGTTTTAATGAAAGTTTATCTTATAGAAATTCATGGACTGTAGATAAGAGAGAAATTATATAATTATATTATCTATATATATATATAAATATATTATCTGTATTTTTAAGAGGGAGTGATGCAACATACCTAATTGAAACATTTAAATTCTGATAATGATTATGATGAAAATTTATTGAACAATCTGTTTTATTTGTTATATTTATTACTTTTCTAAATGATGTAGACAAATTTATACCTAATCAACTATTAATTAATATAAGGATTTATATGTTTCTGTAATATAATAATGCATTCTTTCCATTAAATTTAAAATAGGATACCATAAAAGATATCAAGAATATAAAGGAAACTTTTAAAAAATAACTATAATAATAAATAATTATTTTCATTATTCTTATATGGTATGTGTTACTTCTGTCAAACAGGTAAACAGAGAAGATCAGGAAAGTGAAGTAGGTGTAAGCAGTGCAGTAGCTGAAGGTTCATCGGCGAGTAGTGGCGATGTAGATGACTCCTTTGATGGCAAAGAGACTGATAAAGAATCTAAGAAGAAGAAAAATCGTTGTGCTGTATGTCGTAAAAAAGTTGGTTTGACTGGTAAGTGCGATGCAATGTGATTAGTTAGTGATGTTGCGTAAAGTTATTTTGACAATGATAAATTTGCAGGATTTGAGTGCCGTTGTGGAGGACTATTCTGCGCCGTGCATCGATACAGTGACAAGCACGATTGCAAATTCGATTACAAAGAAATGGGCGCTCAAGAAATTCGGCGCAACAATCCAGTTGTTGTTGGTGAAAAAGTGCAAAAAATTTGAACTATTTAGTGTGTAGTCGTTGGGAAAATGGTTATTATAACTATATAAACAAACAGAATATAAAAAAAATACGCAGAAAACGAGATAAATTATCTGGCAGCTGATTCGCACGTCGAGGGGTGAAACGAGCGAGCGTGTAAGATCGTGAGCGAGCGAGAGAATGAATGAGTGAGCGCGCAAGAGCGACAGTAAAATTGTTTTGCAGCTGAATGTCGAAGTAAAGTAGAAAAATGAAGAAAAGAAACGAATATCAGACAGAACAAATAAACGAAAGATTGCAAATTAGAATGTGTGCGCGTGAATGATTGATTCGTAATTGGATGCCAGTGCCATGTAAGTTTCAGATTGTCATCTAGCGAGAGAATTTTAATTGAGAATATACCTGGTTACTAACTGCTGCCAGTTTACTACTATTATTATCTATTATTATCTTCATGATTATTACGGTTTATGATTATTCTATATTATGTTTATTAATTTACTTAAATGGAAAATTCTGCGAAAATATGAAGCTCGTTTTACGTAAAGGCAGAACTCTTGGTGCGGTCAGTCGATCCAGGATGTCTTCTTAGGAGTTTTGGTTTGTTCGAGAAATTTTATACATTACTGTTTCGTTTATATATATCAAAAAGTAAAAAATAGGGAATGTTGCTTAGGTAATGGCTGACGTTGATGGGTGATCACAATCTTAGGTTAATAATTAGTCTAATAATTATTAAGTATATTAGTCTATTGATTCATAAATAATGCAATGAAGTATAAGTAGTACTGTGTGTTTATGTCCAATTTCACGTGAATATAACCAGCAATTATTACTCATTAAATATGTTTCAACCTATATTGCAAATAATTATTTACACTACGGCCGCCAATCTGGGATTTGTAAATTAAACCCCTCTTTAACGTATTTCTTCGATTTCTCTTAGAACATAAATGAATTGTTAATGGTTGAAGTCGATTAGTTTATATTCGTTTTCTTTATTTTTGCTTGTTTTACGAGTTTTGTAGGGTAGCTGCGCGAGGTATTCCGGTGCTGCACAGCAGCGCATAATGTAAGAATAAATGATTAATAAAATGTCTAGAGAGGCCGGGCATTATATGAACGACGAAAGAAGAGAACTATTAAAGTTTGTAAAGTGTGAACGTATACTAAAACCGTGCGCGAAGGATATTACACTGATAAATTTTATAATTCACGTACATATTTCTATTTTTCTTCTCCGCGTTTAATACTCGTGCCGAATTTTACTTTTCATTTTTCGCCCGTAAATATTTATACATGTTTGTAAAGTTATAGCATACACGAAGAAGTGCTATAGCTATCCAGCTTTATCATATTCCTGTAAAACAAGATGAGTGAAGACGATAAAACTGCGCAAACTACGCCTCACGTATAGGTCAATTCTTTAAGAGCTTCATGAGTTGAGTTTGGATCTTTAACGAAAAGAATATTTTTAAAAAAACACACTGTGCGACTTTGCAATTTCACGTAAAACAAAGTAGCAATGTTTTCTTCTATTTTTTTCTTTGTGTTATTTTGGGACAAAGCGCTTAATCTAAATTGTGCTGCCGTGCTTTTATTTTTTGTTTTGTAATTAGTGGACTTGTATAAATATTATCCGCCTAAAAAAAATTGTTTTTGCGTCGCATCGAAAAATGTACATCAAATATCTTATTTTCGATAAATATATGAAGCGTTCTGTTAAATGTGTAATCGTAAGGTCTATCAAGTTTTTTATGTGTTTTTCTTTCTTCAGCTTCGAGTAAGCGAATGCTCTGCATTAGTTATCCCGTATTAAGTTACCAAATATACTTCACGTGTCGCCGCCGAAAGTACTCCAGCCGCGAACGATTTTCTCCTCGGACACGTCAGCGTCGCAGCTGAAAGTTTCCAGAAAATTTTTGCGACTTAACGATACCTAGAAATTAAGGCAATCTAAAAAGATTACACTTTCGGTATAATCATCAATGGATAATTTGGGCACGATTTCTTCGCGATCTTTACGGGACGACTTATATGCGCCGATTTCACATAGACAATATATACATATATATACATACATATATATATATATATATATACATATATTTTATCTTGTATCAAGATATTATTGTTGTCAATGAATCTGTTCTTTTTTCCTTTTTGGCGCACCTTTTTAAGAACGCTGATGAGAGAAATCAGAATCGTGTATAGAAAAAAAATGCACACCACGTTAACACATATACACATTTACATTTACACGTACACATTACATACATACATTACATACACATTACATACATACATTACATACACAGACACCGATTATCAGTAATATCGACGGAATGGTTGCCTTCAGGCCTTCATCCTATTTTAGGCATAGCATATTTTTCTAACGTGTATCGCAATATCGGAATAATCTTGCCTAGCGAGAGCGATAGAATGATCGAGAGGAAGAGAAAGAGGAAGAGAGTGATTGAAGGAATGCGTATGTGAAGAGTAGAGATACCTGGGAAAATGAGGCAGAGGAATGCGTGCAAAAACATAAATGATTTATAGGAGAGGCGAGAGAAAGAGAGAGATTGAGAGAAAAAAAAGAGAGCGAGAGAGAGGAAAAAAAAGTTTATCAGCGATGATCGTACTTGGCTGACTATATAAGGACGTAACACGATGCTTGTAATTATTACGATTGATATTAGTACGTTTAAGCTATTAAAAAAGTAACATCAACTTTAATATATATTATATGATTACAATTACCATCCTCTTTGAAATGCTTTAGACATTTAGGTTTCATGTACGTAAAGAAAGTTAGTGTGCTACGCTTTTTCCCTCTTTCCCTCCTTATTCCTCAACCACGTCTCATCCTCTTTCTTCCCAGGCCTTTACAGGCCCTTTTGACAGTTCTTGAAACGTTTATAATTATAGCAGACTATATATTTATGTATATTTAAAAACAAAATATATATAAATGCATCGCCCCTAAACGAAAGCCGGAAATCGTTTTTTGTGTGTGACTACTTTATATAGGGTCCTTTAATTAGCACCTCATCGAATTATATTGTAGCCGTAATGTACAAAGAAAAAAAAAGAGAAAAGAGATGAGGTAACGTCTCCCGAGAGAGAGAACGTATTTGAACGAGGTGCGATCTTATTTTCTCTGTAATGAAAATTTTTGCTGCAATAAACGGTTTATCTTTTATCACGTTGGATACTCGATGCCATCTTGACCGAAATTTGTATTGTTATGCGTATAACGATGCCTTTAAAAAATTTAATAATAAACGTGAGTTGCATTGTTTTTTTATGTTTTTTATACATTCTGTGTGTAATACAACATCCTGACTTTAGCAATTTTATTATATGATACATTATTAAAAAGTTGCTATTAATACGTCAGTTTATCGAAAAATACAATACAAAAAAATAATACATAGAAGTATATTTCTGAAATAAATATTTTATAATTATTTAAAGAAAAGTGCCGTGATGAGAAGGAAATAAGATATGGAAAGGAGCAAACGCGATTTCCACATCAATAAAAATGTTGCGGGAAATTAGATATTCGAAGAAAATGAATATTTTTATCTTTTTTTTTTGGTTAGAACTTGTTCTACATGTAAAACTGCATAAAATCGACTCTCATAAACGCCTTTTTGATTGTATTTACAATTATTGTATGAAAATCACCTACGGTGAATGGAAAGAATTTAAAATAAAGTAGATAAGGCATTATGTGATAATGATTGTATATTTCAATGGACAAAATGTGAGGATGAATAGGCTTTTAAGCTTTAATAAATGTAAATACGTTTATTTTTTTTAATCATAAAATTCGCATGAAGCATTCTCTTTCAGAAATCAAGATATTTTAATGATTTACCTAATGATATAACGTAGTGTAACTTAATATTTGTAAGCATTCAGCGTAGTCCGCCATTTTATTTTACAAGCTTAGCATCGCGATTGATCGAAGCATCGTATTTCCATCATGCAAATCAGATCATTTCATGATCTTAAAAGCATATCCAAAAGACATGACCGATTGAAAACGCAGTAATATGAAATGTTTAGCAGTGTTCAGCAAGCCAATCATATTAAAGAATTTTACAACAATTGCAAAGCTGTTTTTCCGTAACCATTACATACATAATTGGCATTATACCCATTGGGTCTGTTTTTTATTCCTACAATTAGAACTTTTTCTCACTTTTTTCACACAAGAACAAATCTATTATTCCATTTCCGAGAGCTTCTTGAATTTATATTGTACGACAATGTAGGTAATATACTAATTAACATATATTACAGTATTGCATGCGCGATATTTTTTCCAAAAATAAAGATGTGAGGAAATAATCAAGCCAAATAAAAAATAATTATATGTTAATATTTATCCAGCAATAAAAACGCTTAAAAGGATGTTTACATAAGAAACAAATTTATTTCAAGATTCCAAAAGACAATCGAATAAAAACGTAGAATTATGCCCACATTAAGTTAAAGGGTGACATGACATTTGAGAGCATCCGGGTGATGTTTCTAAACGCAGTCCATGATGTAAGAATATCAGATGTTCCGTTGCTCATAATGGCGATAGCAATATTGGAAACAACCAATCCAATTTTTGTCCAAATTGATTTTCTTGCGTATAATAGCGCTGGCATATTAGAATAACCAACCAAAATTTGCCTAAATTTATGCTGCTACTGCGCAACCACTGGAATGAAATACCTAATATTCTTACATCATATATTATCTTCTGTACACTAAACGCGAAAACGCTTGCTACGCGGCAAAATGTGATGCGGTAGCCAATAAGCTTACAGCTCCTAATGTTCATTGATTGCCGTGTCTTGTTTTGTCGCGTGGCAAACGTTCCGTGTCCAATATGTGGAGACACATTCACACTTTTATATACACACACACACACACACTTTCAGTTATACTTCATGCTGCATACTCATGTAAACGTACTA